CTTCATCCCCGGCCGGCCGGGCAGAGGCAGGACCTCCGCGTGGGCTGCTCTGTCGCGCCGCTTCCCGACGTGGCTCTTCTTAGCAAATCAGTCCTAAGCAGAGCGACTCACGTGCGATCGGACAGTTCACGGAGCCGTGCGGGACTCGGCCTCCTGCCGGGGAACTTGCCCAAGTGTAAGGGAAGTCGAGATGCTCAGGAGAAAATCACCTTCCCAACGTGAGGGTGAAAAAGAGGGGGAGACCTTCTTGTTCGGTGCGGCTGGGTCAGGGAAGGCCGTTCAAGTTCTCTGGGAAAGCCCAGCACGACTTTGGAGCAAGATGAGCTCTTTCCCGGAGCTCGGACGGGGAGGAGCGCTTTCCGCAGGACTGTCGGAGCGCGCCGGGCGCATCTTGGAGGGAGGCGAACTTATAGCGGAGCGCCGAGCCGAGGACAGGTGGCGGCAGGTGGGCGCGGCCCTCGGCCTGCACCTCAGCACCTTCCCAGCCTGGGAACTGCGGGGGGAGGGGGCGGCGCACAGCAAAACCCTGACGTTCCAGCCCCGGTCTGCTGAAGTCCTCCGAAGCTACGTGCGACGCTCACACACACCATCTGGAGCGGCCGGGCCATCCCCGAAGAATAACAGGGCGGGGTGGGGGGAGCCTGGTCCATCGTTTCCCATGTCAGCGGGCAGCTTACATATCACAACCCTAACCGAGGTTCTTAAATGGTTGGAGATCATTTGTGGGAAGGTGCTGATTTTGATTTTGACATTACGAGATGTATCAGAAGTTTAGTCGACCAAGATTTAGCTTTGTCGAGAAGTACGACAGTTTTGCATAATGATGACCTAATACATTGACATTTTAATTTTAGCTCTTAAATAAATTGGGCAAATTAGCAGGTCCTAATATTATTGAAGACCTGCAGTTTTCCTGTGCAAATAATTTGGCTGTTTTCTGTGAAATAACATATCAAAAGATATTAATGTGTATATAGAAAACTTTATATTATTCTAATTGTATAATTGGATTTTATGAGTTCAGATACTTAGGCAAATCAATTCAGTATTTATACTTCATCTCCCCTGGCTCGGGTTCATAAATGTTTGTGGGACATGCACTGAGATGATAACTAATCACTTAATTATTTGACATTTAAATCTTAAAAAACGAATCAGAATGCACATATATGTGCAAAATGTTAACATCTAAGTAATTTGTGAGGTTTTTAAAAATAATTCCTAATGGAAAATTTTTGTCTACCTCATAAAACTATACATATTTCATACTTCTTGGATGTTTCAGTTATGTCAACTGGCTTCAGGAACAGAAACGAAGCATGATTTCCACTACTGATAATGATTCGATTTATACAGAGGAACCATTAATTTAGTTCTCTCGTCTCAGCTTGTTTCTCCCTCTTAAGAGGAATCAAGGGCAAAGAGATCAATTCCAAATAGGTTAAATTCAGAATCACTTCTGGATTCTTCAGGAAGACTAAGTATGCTCTTTCTCCTTTTGAAATATGGATATGGCAGTATTATTCTCAGATATTTTTGTTTAATTAAATTATAAACAAGCTCTCACAAATCAGGAGTCTTTTAACGGTGACTTACTTCCCCCACCATTCCTCAGACTGTAACCCCATTTTGATTGCCCTGACTCCAAGTCCTGTCTTCCCATAAATAGTTGATTAATCCCCAGCTGAAGCAATGACAATGAAATGAAGTTGAATAACATGAAGACAATAGTATGCAATTGAACATTAATAATCTCCAGCATGACAGATGTTGAACACAGACTTTTGCATGGAGCCCCTCAGCTCTGTTACTCTGAGTCCTAACAGTCTCGGTTGGGAACAGCAGTACTGTGACAGGAAAGACTATGTTATTTAGTCATCAAAATGTCAACTATATTTTTTAGAGTTTTCATGGAAATCTGCCCTATTAATGCTGTTGTTTCTCATATTCATTTATGTTGTTTCTCTTTCCCCCAAAGAGCTCCCTCTGTGCTGCTCTGTGGAATGTTTCTCTGCAAAACAGACTGCATGTTCTTCTGGACACTATTGTCCAAAGTGCTAATGAGATGTATGTTTTTGCAGGCCACATACCCAGGATTGGTGGGATTATAGCCCAAGCACCAAGAGCATCGGAAGCACAACTTGAAGAGAAGAAGCAAACAGGGCTGTGCACACAGCACAGCCATACTAGAACATAAACAAGCAGATTCCTATGACATGAAATTGATCCAAGAATAGAGAGTATTGCTGCAATAAAGGGGCTTTGAGGGCATATAGTAAGACATTTCCCAAATGTATTCCTAAAGACATTATTAGTACTACAGAGATGCTCCTGAGGAAAAAGTTTCCATTGTCAAGTAAGTGTGGGAAACATATTTGCTATCTCCCATTTGAAGAGTCATGAAGCGAAATTGGCAAAGTTAATGAGAAGTTCCAGAGTAAAGAAATCTATTGACTCCAACATTTCCTAGACCTTCTTGAACACTGAACCATTTTTTCCTAGAAAGATCTATTAACAAAGTTCCTTGGACACTTTTCTGAACCTGCTCTAGTACCTTCCATTTATTTTATAGAAGAGGAGACTTTTGACTGTGCTCAAAGGCACTGAGTGGATTTAATGACTGAATTAATATAAGAAGTCAAATCTCCTACATCCTTTGAATTTTGAGGATTTAAAATTATGAGATCACTTAATACAAGCCCATCATCTTACAACGGGACAACTGAGATACACTAATGACTTCTCAAAGTCAGACAAGTCACTAATAAAAGTTTCAGGAATACAATTAGAAATTTCGTGCTTAAAGGACAGTGTCATTCATTTTATAACCTTCACGTTTAGCGCAGTGCCCAGAAAATAATAAGTACTAAATAAATAACCCAGACTGAATGACTGGAACAATAAATTAGATAAAAGATAGATGCTAATCAGAATGAGCACATTCCTAGGAAATAACCCATACTACAATTAGAAATTTCGTGCTTAAAGGACAGTGTCATTCATTTTATAACCTTCACGTTTAGCACAGTGCCCAGAAAATAATAAGTACTAAATAAATAACCCAGACTGAATGACTGGAACAATAAATTAGATAAAAGATAGATGTTAATCAGAATGAGCACATTCCTAGGAAATAACCCATACGAATGATTCGCACCCCTTCGCCTGTAGAGAACACAAGCCAGTACCACATTTTGAATGTAGAATGGGTTTTTTCTTATCAAAAAACAAATCTATAGCCATTTGGTCCAGAAGAACATTTGTGTCAGACTAATTTCCACGGTGCTTTTATATAAGGGTGTGATCCCACCCGTTGAATTGGCAGTTACTGTATATCTGGGGATTGGCCAGAAATAAAACCTGGCAGATGGAGATATGGAGATGGCCAGGGGTGGGGGTGAGTAAGGGAGGAGGAGCTTGCACCTGTAGAAGGAGTAGAAAAATAGCAGAAACATCATTTTAGAGGTAAAAGATCAATGGCTGAAAATTATCATATAAAATGTGTAGAATAGGTTCAAAGATAAACATACCTTTATTATCCAAAACTGTATGTNGGCAGGACTTCATCCCCGGCCGGCCGGGCAGAGGCAGGACCTCCGCGTGGGCTGCTCTGTCGCGCCGCTTCCCGACGTGGCTCTTCTTAGCAAATCAGTCCTAAGCAGAGCGACTCACGTGCGATCGGACAGTTCACGGAGCCGTGCGGGACTCGGCCTCCTGCCGGGGAACTTGCCCAAGTGTAAGGGAAGTCGAGATGCTCAGGAGAAAATCACCTTCCCAACGTGAGGGTGAAAAAGAGGGGGAGACCTTCTTGTTCGGTGCGGCTGGGTCAGGGAAGGCCGTTCAAGTTCTCTGGGAAAGCCCAGCACGACTTTGGAGCAAGATGAGCTCTTTCCCGGAGCTCGGACGGGGAGGAGCGCTTTCCGCAGGACTGTCGGAGCGCGCCGGGCGCATCTTGGAGGGAGGCGAACTTATAGCGGAGCGCCGAGCCGAGG